TTTAAATTACTTCTTTAAAAGCTCTAAAACACCTACTTCATTTAGCAAATGTTAAGATCTCAATCCATGCTAGACACGCCATAAATCCTTTCTTTTTTTTCTCAAAAATAAGATACAAAAAGGGTAACTTTATTTTGTGAGATTCAGCTGCCTCTAGAATATGAAATTGGAAATGGCAGACAATTATTTTAAGAAACATCTGTACATACATACAATTCTAGCTCATTCAGGGAATAGCTTAAATGTCATGAAAAATTTCTCCCCTCAAAAGAGCTTTTAGGTAGCACGATGGATATCTTTGTGTGTGTGATGTGTAGAAAATATCTAGAAATACTTGGTGTTTGTGGGACAGAGTCTATTTCCAGCCCTTAGCATGGTGAGTAACACACTGTAGGTGGTTACTAAGGATGTTTGAGGATTTTTGAATGGATAAATCTGATCAATACAGAAACACATGGGTTACAAATTCTCAGGAAGAATGAATGCCTTAAACAAACATAATCGTTGTGAGAGCACACATTCTAATCTATAAAAAGTGCAGTAGCGGTAGAATAAATATTGGAAAATAAAAATATTGATTCTTTTTTCTGAATCTTCAAAGCAAAATTAATTTTCCCTCCTCTGGGATCAAAGTGTGTCATAAATACTTCAATTATCACAATTCCACCTGTTGCCTTGTGTTATCGTTATAAATCTGTATCTTCACCTCTACCCCACAAACTGACTATAAATTCTCTAGGCAAATGGCCTCATCTTTCTCACTGTGGTGTCCCTAAGCCTAGACTGGTATCTGCAGTTGTGCTCATTCCTAAGTCCATGTGGGCTGCTGGTTTACTAAATTTCCTTTGTCTTCATCGCCTCTTCTCGGGGCTCAGCAGATACACCTGAACTGGGAGAGGGTCTCAAAAGGAAGCAGTCACTAGTGTCTTACCGAAAGATTTGCAGTTCAGGAAAACGTATATTCTTTTCCCAGTTCATGGTGTCATGAACTCCTGACTGCAGTCAGGAGCTCATAACTTAAGTTTTGGAAAATGCATTTTGGGGAAAATAATTTCAGTTAGTTTCCCTTGAAACCACACATCTGTTATCTCCTACGACAACCAGACCTGCTGCTTTTGTCTGAGCTTCTGTCTGTTGGCCTCCCATTCTTAGCCCTCTTCACTTCCCTTCACCTCCAGCTTACTCTTTGTGGGACGGCATTTCTGTTGCTTCTCTTAGCCCAGGCCTTTCCATCACTCCTGCTCAGTGGAAGCTCAGATCTGCATAAAAGCACAAGGACTGGTGGTATCTGCCTGATACCTCCCCCGGACTATGCTAAGTGTTTCTACAGCAGGTTATTTTACTTAATTACCTCCATAACTCCAGGTGCTTGTTAGCATTTTATGCCTCTTTTACAAAGGAAGAAAGCAAGTTTTCAGGGAGATGAAGTAACATAAGCAGCTTGCAAATGCAGGCAGTCTGATTCCGGAACTTTTACACTCTTCCCTGCCACTGAATTCCACATCTGTGTCATCCCTCCACCTAAGCAGCTAACCTTGGCTGAAAGAGATCTCAGAGGCAGGAATACTAATGTCATAAATTCATAGTACAGTTTCAACTGGGCCCTCTACCACCTGGGACTCCTCTCTCGTGACTCACACCTTCTCTCCCTCCTCAAATATCGAGTCAACTTCGTCTCCGTCTGCATAGGTTGCTGTAACAAGATCACAGACTATATGGCTTAAACCACAGAAATTTATTTTCTCCTAGTTTTGGAGGTAAGAACATTGAACATCCAGGTGCAGGCAGGGTTGAGTTTCTGGAAAAGGCTGTTTTCAGGTTGCAGACAGCTGCTTTGTCTCACACATTCTTTCTTCTTGAGTACACGGAGTGAGACAGAGAAAATTCTCTGGTGTCCTCTTAAAGGACACTCTTCTTAAAGACTCAAGGCCCCACCTTTTGACCTCATTGGACCTTAATTACTTCCTTAAAGGCCTTATCTCTAAATACAGTCACCCTGGGGGGGGGGGTTGGGCTTCAACATATGCAGCCTGACAATTAAGTTTGTGAACCTGCCACAATGCATTTATGTTGGCAATACTGTATAAGTGCGTTGGTAAGATTTCATAACCTTCGATCTACCAGTGACTCTACCAGTGTCTCACGGCTGTAGTTATGTCAACGTTTGGCAGTGTCTTGCAACTGCCCTTTATATTGTTGTAGTGTAATTTTGTGGGCCATTGCAAGAACGTGGGAGCTTGAATTAGAGCCACAAATGAACATTAAATTTATTGTTTCTTCTTGGCAAGAGTGGAAATGGAATCAGGGACAGGTGAGTCCAAGTTTGTGGGCATGAGGCCATGAAGAAAATGGCAATGTACAAATGAATGAAATGTTTTTCTGAAAGAAGAGAAAATGTCCCTGATGGAGAGAGCTCAGGGCGGCCAATAATGAGCAGGACTGCTAAAAACATTGCAAAAATTTGTCAAATTGTGTGTCAAAATCATCATCAGACTGTGAGTACAGACCAAGTACACATCTGTAGAGAAACAGGAAAATCTTACCTGAAAATCTTGGCCAATAACTCATGGCTTCTATATCATGACAATGTTTCAGCTCACCTGGCATGGTCTGTGAAGGAGTTTTTAGCCGCACTGGCTAGGACACCCTCCTCCCAATGACTTTTTTCTTTACCCAAAGATAAAGAAAATATTGAAAGGAAGACATTTTGATGATTTTCAAGACTTTAAAGGTAATATGATGACAGCTCTAATGGCCATTCTAAACAAAGAGTTCCAAAATTGCTTTGAAAGGTGGACTAGGTACCGGTGTCAGTGGATAGCTCCCCAAGGGGAGTACTTTGAAGAGGACTGTAGTGATATTTAGCAATGAGGTGTGGAGCACTTTCTCTAGGATGCCTACGTGAACTTAATTGTCAGACTTGTCATATGAATTTAGAGATACTGAAACATATAACAGCCCCCTCTCACTTTCTCTCAGTAAATGTCCTCATCATAAATGCCCTTAATGCCTGCTCCCAGGGAAAAGAGGGAGATCCCGGGAACCACCTCAAATTCCTACCATCCAATTGAGAGTGCTAATCACATCTGCTGCGGCCATTTTTACCTTCCTCCTGTTATAAGAGGGAAGCATTGCATTACCTTCTGCAAGCCAAAGTCTAACCTCACTCTACATCCCTGCCCGTTATCTCCTTGAAAACTTACCAGCCCCTCTCTTTCTTTTCAATATTGAAATTCTCATTCTTTATCAGCTGCTTCCCAATGGCCCTTTAAATTTGCTTGTCTCTTAAGGAAAAACGTCTTCCTTTGATCTAGTATTTCCTTCCAGCCACCTCCCTGGCTTCCCCTCTCATTTTAAAGCAAGCTTTTCTAATTGCTGCATATAGTACATGTCTCCATTTGCTCACTCCCACTTACTTGTCCCACCACTACATTCTGGATTCTGCCTCTGCAATGCCACAGTCTTGTTCACTGAGCTCATGAAATGACATTCTCATTAGGAAGTTCAGCAGGCACTTTCCAGTCTTCATAGTTCTTACTTCTGAGAATTCGAGATCTTGGGCTCTGTTTTTCAAAATTTATCTTCCCTTGGCTTCTGTAACACCGCACCCCTTGTTTGTGTCTTGCCTTTCCAATCTGTCATTCCCGGTTGCCTTTGCTGCTTCTTCCTCTACCCAACTACAGCACTTTAGTTCTTCAAGCTCTAGACCAGTGTTCCTCAACCTTTTTCATCTCATGGCACACATGAACCTATAGTTAAACTTCTTCAGCACACTTAGGGTATATGGATCAAAAGAAAGAGTTAAAATATATATATACATATATATATACTTCCTGTGCTTTGAATTTCTTTCACAAATAATGTAATTAATGATCTTTACAATTTTTTGAAGCACACCTAAGATCCTCTCATGACATACCAGTGTGCCATGGCACAGAAGTTGAAAGTCATTGCAACTTTGCTCTCTTCCCACTCTTTTCCTAGGTGATCTTGTTACATTCTAAAATTTCAGTTACTGTCCATGCACAAATAATTACTAAATTTTATCTTCAACCAGGACCCTCTCAAGAACTCCAGATGGTTATATTCCAAATATCTTCTGGTTACTGACACGAATGTCTAATAGTCACCCTTAAACAATGTGTATAAAACTTAACTCATAGTCTTCTCTCAAAAAATATGTTCTTCCTCCAAAGATCTCTGTCTCCGTAAAGAGTACCACCATCACCCATTGTTCAAGCCAGAAAAATGAATGTCCTCCCTGACTCCTCCTCCTCCTTAAAACTTGCCCTCAAAAAATTGAGTCATGATGATTCTTCTAAGAAAATAGTCTGGGATCCACCCACTTTTCTTCATCATTTTTGATGCCATCATCCTAAGCACAGCTACCATGACAGCAATAGTCTCCTAACTGGTTAGAGTTTCTGCTAGCCTTCTGATCAGTTCTCTCCACTGCAGCCAGATCAATGTCTTCAAATTAATTTCTGTAAACCACTCTTTTACTTTCCATTCCTTAGGCTGTGTTGTCTCAGTATTCTTATAAATGCTCAGATAAACCTATAGGATCTTACGCTTTTTTAGTCCTTTAATTTTCTGCTTCTGCCTTGCAAACTCTAGTTATGCTAGCCCTTCTAGCTACCATATTCTTTCCAGCATTTGGGCCTTTGTGTGTGCTATGCCTTTTTTGTGAGACTTATCTCCCACTTAGCTTATTCTTAGTCATAATTTCAAGTATCTTCTTCTTTTTTTATTTTTTTATTTTATTTTATTTTATTTTAATTGAATGGTAACTATGTACATTAATGCACTTCTGGGGTACAGTGTGGTGTTTTCACACACAATTTGAAACATTTCCATCAAACTGGTTAACATAGCCTTCATGTCATTTTCTTAGTTATTGTGTTAAAAC